AGAAATGCAGAAAAACAGTCATATGCGGTTTGGCCAGATGTTCAACATGTTCACCTTGAATCCAGATTGCTATTGGGCCTCCAAAAAGGCAAAAGCCCTCACAATTCTATTATTTAGCCTATTAAAGAATAGTCCATTTTTATTCATTTAGTGCTCACCAACCCCAACCCCCATCCCGGCCCCAACCCAGATTGAACCCAGGATGKCTCTACCATTGAGCTAGGTCCCCAGGGCTTTTTTTAAAAAAGAATCCATTTTGAAATGAGTGTGGTGGTCCATGCATAGGATCCCACAATTCAGGAGGCTGAGATGGGAGGATCCCATGTTCAAGACCAACATCTGCAGATTAGGGAGACCCTGGGCCAAAATGAAAAATAAAAAAGTTTGAGGATATAGCTAAGTGACCGAAAGGCCCTGGGTTCAGTCCCTAGCACAGCCCCAAAGGGATGATAATCAAATAAAAATAACAATTTTCAAAAACCAAACCCAATTAACCCAAAGGCTGAATGTTTTCTAGGACATGCAGATGTTAATTCACAACAAACGGGGGGGGGGGGGGGGGGGGGGGGGGGGGGGGGGGTTGCTGTGTGGCTAGGGAAAGACAGGCTAGTTTGGATCAGATGGAGGGGAGTGAAAAGAGGGGAGGGGTTAAGGGTAGGAAGTGTTGCCGAGTGATTCAGACATTACCCTATGTGCATATAGGACTGGTGTAATTCTACATCACAGACAAGCAGAAGAATGACAAGTCATCATCGGTGTATGTACCATGTGTCCAAATGCAGTCTACTGTCATGTATGACTTAGTAGAACAGAGAAAAAAATAAAATAAAAACCATTTTTTGGAGACATGTTCTCCGTACATTTCTCACACTGGTGTGGAGGCTGAGACCCTTCTTCCTCAGTCTCCCGATTCCTGGGATGATGGATCTGTCCAACAGACCCTGAGCCCACCCATGCATTTTCACCTGCTCCCCAAGTGGTATGGGTGTTATTGATGGGAGTGTGAGGACACCGTCTACCCCTTAAGTAGACCTGTGTGCCTGACCTAACGATGACCAAAGTCTTAGGTTGAGAAAACCCTGTGTATCCAGAGAATGGCAATTAAAAATTGGGGAATGGGCAGTATGCTGTTTTACAGTAACGGAGGCCCATAAAGCGAGGAAACATTAAAGAGGGAAATTCGTAAGTCACTGGTAAAGTGCATGGTTAGCGTGCCCCAGACTCTGGGTCCCATCCCTGCATGTACATTGCAAAAATAATTTTCAAGAGGGAAATGTAGCTTCATTCTTTCTGTGAAGCTGGGCCCAACAAGGTCCCTGGGCCCATCAAAGGGATGTAAATCTCTTACCTTCCAATGAACCACACCCAACCTACAAAGAGAGAGGTTTAGGGAGGAGAATATAGGATCACTATCCAGGAAAGATGGAAAGGAGGAGCACTAAAGGGCAGTTTGTGGCCCTCAATGCAAAGCTGTGTAAGGGTGGGGCTCTGTGGAGGCGTGGCTCGCCTATAAGAGCAGAGGGACCCCAGCTG